ATACATTTTGAAGGCTTCTTTCAATAATTTATTTTATTAGTTTATAAATTTACCAAAAAAATCAACGATTTAGATAATTAAATTTAAAAATAAATATAAAATTTGTTTTATTCACACACTGACCCTAACGCTGAAGACGTCGTCTGAAAGCCAAGCCCTTTCATGTATKATGTCTTTCACGCAAACGCTAATCGTTGCCAACACTCTGCACAGTTCGGCAATACCACCGGGCCTGTCACTCAACGTCGCGTGGAACTTGACCAGTCTACCGTCGATGGCCAATCCCCTGTCCAAACACCTTCCCAGTATGGACGTATCGATGTTGCCACCGCACAGCAACAAAACGACTCTATAAATAACGCCAATACATCAAAAGTTAATAACTATAGTAATCGTTAGATAGAATTTAATTCATGATTATACGATTTACTACGACTAGAATTCATTATTTACCATTTAACTAAAATTAAATTAAAATATTATCGACAGAACGAAGTGGTTTTATACTCCTTAATAATCCTATAAACAAATTTAACCATGAAGAATAATCACCACCGTAATACTAGGTAGTCCGTCAAGCAAAGCTAAATTTATATAATTTAATTGGATATCACATTCAAAATTTTACTAATGATAGTCCGTGACTAAAACCCAAATTTCAAAATCAGCTGGTTGTAAGCTTTGGCTTGTGTGAGGAAATAGGGCCTAATTTATTGTCCGTGCTACATATTATTAGACACGACGATTTGTGATATAAGCAAATATAATGGCTGCAGTCACGACAATATTTTGTAACTAATATTTGAGTTGCGGTCGTGGCGTAAAATGCCCATAATTTTATTTATTTGAATCTGATTAATTACTTGTAATATTTATTTTATGACTTAACTGATACTGAGACATAACTTGGCTGTCTCGAAAGGTACTGTTGGACGCAAATAGGCTATGACCTTTTTTCAACCTCTTTATGTAGGACGCAAATTACCTACTGATAATAATCTCGAACGCAAGTAGTATGCACCGATGATCGCAACTAATTTGTAATCTATTTAAGGGTCACTGCAACTAATAAACACCGATTTTCCTTATTGATAAATGTTAAAAGCTTATAATGAAAAGTCCCACAAATGTAATATTATTTAATTTTTTTAAACTACATCACTTAAGTGCCCAGTATATATGTTATGAAGTATCTCGATATAATTATATCGCAATAAATTAAAAATAAAAATGTTAAAAATTATTTTTAATTAAAAAATATTCTAGAGAATTTACCGTCGATGTTAAATTAATGGCCTAGGAACAAGTTATATACCACCACATTACAATATTACCCACTTACTTTTTTCCCGCAAACTCGTCTAAAGTACCCGACAACGCAGCTGCTAATCCGATGGCTCCAGCGCCTTCAACAACGCATTTCTCTGACTCTACAAGTCGCAGAATTGCCATAGAGATCCATTCCTCTGTGACCACGATCTAGAAAAACATATTTTCGTTACACAATCAGTACATAATATAAGTTAAAGTATACAGTAATCCATTTTTCTCCGTATTTAGAACAACTGGTGTTGGGTAATAGATGATATTTTAGGGCCAGGGCTGTATAGATGATTTTTGTATACTGACAGATTATGTACACAAATGAKTAGTATATAATTTAGTGGTTTTGACTGTTGGTTCCCTTATCCTCCTCTCCCACAACCACTAGTCACTCAACCTTCAACCCTTAACCCTCAATCCCTTGTCCTTGCTGGTTATTGATGGTCGGTACG